AGGGAGGGAGGAAACATTGATGGGAGAGAAACATTGATTGGTTGCCTCCCATATGTGTCCCGACTGGGGATGGAACCTGCAGCCTTTTGGTGTATGGGATGACCCTCCAACCAATCAAGCCGCCCGGCCAGGGCGAAGGCTAATTCTTTTTAACCCTTCTCTCACTAAGCCCATTTTATTTGAAACCTTGTCTGATTCAGATACAGTGCAGCAGAATTGTAAAGGGCCATCTTTATCTCAAGTACTATCATTCTAAAAAAAAATTGCCATGATTCATCATTTTTCTGGGCAGAGGAGTAAAAAGAAACAAGAGGGGCAACATGCCCTGATCCAAACTTTTCAGATTTTTTCCTTCCTTCCCCCTTCCCCCACCCTGAGGCTTAGGCCTCACTACTTCAGCTGCTGTCCCTGGGAGGGGGGGCGGGTTGGGACAAGAGCTGGCTGCCTGAGTCCTCAGACAAGTGGTGGCCTCAGGTCGGAGGCTGGCCCACCAGCAGCTGGCCCCTGCCACTCAGCAGGGAGGCCGGCCCTGGCCAGGGGAATGAAGAGGGCGCCGAGGGCGCGGGCCTGCCTGGCGCTCACTGGCTCTGCCTGTCCCTTCTGTGCTTCCTCAGGAGATCCTCCGAGAGCTCACGCTGGATGCCCTGCTGGACATGAACGAGGCCAAGGTGAAGGAGACGCTGCGGCGCTGTGGGGCCAGCGCGGAGGAGTGCGGCCGCCTGCAGTACGCCCTCACCTGCCTGCGGAAGGTGACAGGCCTGGGTAGGTAGGGCCTGCCTCCCAGCACCAAGGCCAGCCCCTCGGCTCCCCCTCCGTCCACCTCGGCCTAGACCCCCGCGTTTTCTCCCCAGGCCTAGCCTGGTTCCCTGGGGCCACAGCCTTTGCTGAGGATGATGGGGGTGGGGCAGGTGGGGCCCAGGGTTTCTGGGGGAGCTTGGAAAGGCCAGGATAGACATTCAGAAAGTGTGCGATGGGCCTGACCTGAGACAGAGGCTCTCCCCAGGTCATAGGGCTCAGATCTGGACTGGTCTGGCCGTTGCTGACACAGAGAGGCTTTAGCCATTGTTAGAAACCCCAGGCTGGCCTGCGGGGCGGGCCCTGTATGATTTCCCCTCTTTGGAGCACATTTGTTAGGCTCTGTGAACCCTCCAGCAGCTTCCTGGGTTCCAAGCCCCCTCCCCACCCCGGCTCACCCCCAGCCCTCTCCCCACATCTCCTGTCCTCATCAGCTGCTGTGCTGTGTGCTCAGCCTGAGCCAGGCAAGATTTGAGAAATTGCCCAGCGTTTCAGCCCTGAGTGTGTGTGTGTGGCTGCTCCAAGCAAAGGATATAATCCTGGCATTAGATGCGTTCCTGGGGAATTATTCGTTGGCTTTCTAAATCTTGCCTTGGAAACAGCTTCAAATACCCTGACTTTTAATGCTCCCACTACCAACCACACAGATAAGGCTTTGAAATGAACCTAATGAGTGGAATTAGCCACGGTTTTTAATTATCTCAGCCACCTGTCTTTTCTCTGGCTGCCTGAGGCTTCTGGAAGGCACTGAAGTTTGTATTCTGCCTGATTATTTTCTCGGGGGATTGAGCTTAATTTCTTCCCTGCCCCATTGCACCAAGTTCCTCCTCTGAACACAGAGCTGCCGTGGAGAGCTTCACTCGGTTCAGAAAACCTCCACATGCCAGGCCTCCTGGCAGATGCAAAGAATAAACATGATGGAGACGTGGTCAGCATTCTGGTCCCCACTTTACAGAGGAGGAGACTGAGCCTAGAGAGGGAGGCTAAAGACACACAGCAGTTGGTGGCAGGAAGGGGATTTAAGCCTCAGTCTTTGATGGTGGTGAGTTTGTTCCCACATTGTAGAAGTTTAAAAATACTTGCAACCCAACCTGAAATCTTGGGGGTGACTTGTCAACCCTCCCTCCTCCATGGGCCTGAATTGTAAAGAATTAGGGAGGAGCCAGCTGTCGAGTGGTGGCGACCCATGTGTGTTGGAAAGGCTGCTGCCTGCCTGTCCTGGATGCCAAGACAGGGAGATCACTAACTTATTAAGCACTAATTTATTAAGCCAGGCACTTGGCACACATGTGGCAACACCCTTTTTAGAGGTGGTGGTAAGCTCCTTTAGTAGCTGGAGCATTGGACACACTGGGCATGCTGTCTGGGTTCCCACACCTTGTGCATAGCAGAGCTGGGCTTGGAACTCAGGCTCCTTCCCCAGAGGGTGCTCATCACGCTGTGCCCAGGAGTAGGCCTCTGGAGAGAGTCTTTCCCAGGTTCTCCTCTCTCATTCGATCTCAGCTGTGATGCCTCTACATCCCCCAAAGGATCCTGGTTGCACCCCACCCGCACGGGTCTGTCCAGTGGTGGCCACACTCCAAGGACATCTGCCAGATAGGCAGGTAGCATTGATCACCCTGTCTCTTGGATCGTGCAGGCTGAGTCTTCATTGCACCCAACCAAGCTTGGCGAGAGCAGCCTAGTTGCAGCCTAGCTTAGCCACTGACAGCCCATAGGAGCTGGGTCAGTTATTTAGCCCCACTGTGCCTCAGTTTCATCTGTAAAGTGGAGGTAAAACAACACCTTTTATAGGGTTGTTGTGAGGGTGAAATGCTAAGAATAGAGCCTGTGACATGCTAGGTGCTCTTTTCAGTGTTAGGCTGTTGTATGATGGAAAATGTCAAAGTCATTTCCCTGTGGTCTCTGATATTAAGAAAGGTGAGGATGGTTCTCTGCGCCAGTGGCTGGGAAATGGGAATACCATGCCTGCTGATGCTCCGGGTTCTTCTTTCATAGCACACATTGCTAGTCAGTCCCCAAGCTCTTCCTACTGAGTGACTCCAGGGTCATTCCAAGAGCCACTGCCAGTGGACTGGTGCTGGCACGCACAGCAAGACCCACCTGGCCTCCCTGAGCTGGCTCAAGGCGGTGGTCATAGCCAGTAGGCAGTTTGGAGAATGTGGGGCTTGTTTCCTTTGGTGGCAGACTTACCCATGGACTCATGGAACTCATTCTTTCATCCCCTGGCCAAGAAACATGTCAGTGCCACCTGTAGATTAGCTTGTAAGTTAAAGTTTAAGTCGTGGCCGCAGTTCCAAAGGAGCCCTCAGACTGAGGAACTCATTCCGCCAAGTCGGTTCATGAATAGTCACCGTGCAGTGAGGTAGGACGGGCGTTTGCGGGGGGTGGAAGGCACAAAGAAACCCAAGAACTGCGAAGGCCGGTTCCTCTTCACTGTGCCTGGTAAATGGCTGTGTGGGCGAGGCTTGACTGCCTCTGAGGACAGAGAGCTCATTGCCTCCCAAGGCTGTGCCATTGTAGGTTATTCAGAATTGATGCCCTGTGGGAGGAGGCCAGTGCTGTGGGGACAGCGGACTCGGTTCCCATCCTTCCACGTGCTTAGCTGTCTGACCTCGGCAGCGTGCGTGGCCTCCCGGAATCTCAGCAACCTCACGTGCTGAGCGGACGGAGGGAGACGGTGCAAAGCACCAAACAGAAGGATCCCAGGATAGAAGTCCATTTTGTCTTGAGTCAAAATCTACCTTCCTGAACTGTCTACTCATTGATAAATATGAGGAGGGAGGTGTTGCCTCCTTCCCCACAACAGGGTCTCTAGATGGGGTCCTTGCTCCCTGCCCCCACCTCTTCAGTATCTCTCCATCTCGTATAAGGTTAAATCTAAAGTCCTTAGCAAGACGTCCAAGGTCCCTGGTAGACTGACCCTCCGGCTTCATCTCTGTCTTCCCGGCTTGTCCTGACCCCTCCAGGCACATGGAACTCGGAGTAGTTACCAGAAGGTGCCGTGTACTCCCTACCTTTGCATGTGCTGCTCCCTCTGCCCGGTGCACCTGCTCCATCCAGCTCTTCCACGCCTGGCTCAGCTCAGGTGCTACCTCCCCTGGGAAGCCCTTGGTCCCAGGCTATTTAGGATCCTCCTGCTCTGTGCTCCCTTAGTCCCCATCCATGTCTGTGTCAGCACACAACTCACTGTGTTGAGTGTCTGTCACCCTCATTGGACTCTTTAGGCTCAGTGGATGTATCTTTTTTTATGCCTTGATACCCGGCGTCCAGCATGTGCTTGAATGAATGGACAGACTGTGCCACTGAGTTGGAGCCCCACAGAGCGCTGAGGCCTCAGCAGCCTCAGGCAGAGGTCACTGTAGGGCCAGCCGAAAGTCATTCGCAGGCTTTTCTCAGAAGTAAGCAGCTGTTGATTCCTTTGTAGCTGGATCTCTTTTCTAGCAAATTTCCAGGGCAATTTGCTGTTGGAAGGTTGGTGCAGTCCCTTTTCCTAACATTTGAATTTTCTTAAAGTGGAGTTATCCCTCTACACACCCCAGCTTCTCTTCCTAACTCTTAAAAGAGCAGTCACCACTTCCCTCTCTGAAGTCACCCACTTTGGAGCTGGCTTGTCTGGCTTGCTCCCCACTGACCTGCTAGCAAGAGCCCAGCATGAGCCAGTCCCCTCTGGACCTCATTTGCCCTCTGTAAAACGGGACAGTAATTCCACGCCATTGGCCTCGTGGTCAGCTAGAAAAGATGGGAGAAGACGCATGTGTGTGAGAGGCCTTTATAAACCAGGGAAAGACTGGTAGTGGAAGCCTTCCATTAAGGAGCTGTGCAACCTTAGGCAAGGTGTTTAACCTCTATGGCCACCTCACCTGTAAATTCCTCTAGCCCCAGCCTCCTATAACTCGACTTCTTGGCCCACAGGAAGGGAACACAAAGAGGACTCAGGCTGGAGTTCATTGGATGCCCGGCGGGAAAGTGGCTCAGGGCCTTCCACGGACACCCTCTCACCAGCCAGCCTGCCCTGGCACCCAGGGAGCTCCCAGCTGGGCAGGATGAGTAGCAGTGGCCAGGGCCCACGCTCCGTCTCTGTGTCAGCTCTGCCCACCTCGGACTTCCCAACCCCTGGCCCCAGCGAGGGCCTCTCGGACACCTGTATCCCCCTGCACGCCAGTGGCCGGCTGACACCCCGTGCCCTGCACAGCTTCATCACCCCCCCAACCACGCCCCAGCTGCGACGGCACACCAAGCTGAAGCCGCCAAGGACACCACCCCCACCCAGCCGCAAGGTCTTTCAGCTGCTGCCCAGCTTCCCCACGCTCACCCGGAGCAAGTCCCACGAGTCTCAGCTGGGGAACCGCATTGACGAGGTCTCCCCAATGAGGTAAGTGCTCCTGCCAGACAGGTGCTGAGTTTGTCGCCCACTGAAAGTTTTGACTACAGTTTTCTCATTATAAAGGTAATATAGACTCAATTGAACATGGTCATAAAATCAACTAATATATAAGTATGCACGGTAAAGATGAAAGGTGCCCCTGTCTTTTAGTCCACTCCCCAGACTATCTTAACAGCTTGGGGTGAATCCTGCTAGATTTCTTTGCAAGTGCTTACATGCATAGACACACACATACACAAATGAAATGATGCCATGTGTCAGTCAGGATAGACTGCGTTATGCTGCAGTAACAAATAATCCCCATATCCCTGGGTCTTAAAGATTTGTTTCTTGCTCCTGCTGCCTGTCCATCATGGGTCAGCCTCATTCCAGGTCCCAGGCTGATGGAACCAGCCACTGTCTGGAACATTCCACTGTGGCAGAGGAAGAAAGATTTTTAGATGTGACACACTAGTGATTAAATGCTCTTTCCTGAAAGTTCAAATCACCATTCACGGTCCTACCCAAACAAAGGAACCAAGAAATGTAACTGACTCTCCCATGTGTCCAGAAGAGAATGGAATATCTGGCTGAAACCTCTAATGACAATCACAAAACCATGTACTCTGTTCTGTAACCTATTTTTTCAACTCACCTTGATATTTCTGAGAATTTCATGTCGGTACATCTTGAAATACCTTATCCGTTTATTTTTAAAAATTTCCTATCTGTGTATTTTAAATAGTAATAACAGTCACATAGTCCAACATGCAAAAGCTTTCTAGTTCATGTAGTTCACTCATCTTTGTAGGGATGTATAGGATAAAGTGAGCCCCTATCATTTTTCCTTAGTCGCCCAGTTCCCCTTTCAGGGGCAACCAGGTTATTCTGTATGTATTTATAATTATTCAAATACCTTAGGTTTTTCACATTTTCGTACCATTCCATTGTATAGTTTAACTGTTGATGAACACTGAGTCCATTGTCGTTCCGTTATTACAAAAATTGCCCTTGTCAATATACCCTCGTGGGCAGGGCAGAGAAGGAGAGCACTTACTTTGTCACCTTGTACCTCTGCGGGTTGTCTGCTTTCCTGATGTGGACACCCCTTTCCTGGTCATGGGTGGGCTTGTTCCCCTGTCCCAGTGCAGGCTGTCTTGGGTCCGCCCCTTATGGGATGGATCCTGGACATCTCTGGTGGTTTTGGGTGTGTCACCCAAGGAGGGAAATCCTGATCAGGCTGTCATGCTGGGGCCTAGACTGCCCCCGCTCCTCTGGAAGGGACTGCAGCCTTCCCCCATAGATCCCCTTGTCTCAGAGAGCACAGTGATAACTGCTGTGTGGACATGTGGGCATGGGTGAGTCAGAGGCACCTCAGTGGGCAAAACCCAGGGTGTCTGCTTCTCATTTTTCCTGAAAAGAGCATTGGGAGTGCTCTGGTCTCATCCTGGCTCCAGGCAGAGAACAGGGCCTCGGGCAGATGTCACCCTGCCTTAGATCCCAGAGCTGGTGAGCTGGCCTTGGCCCCTGGGGTTCTGAGTCATGTCACCACAGAGCCACCAGAGTGAATACTGACATGGACTCTCAGGCCACCCTGCTGCCCTCAGCGAGCCCCTAGGGCAGGCTGAGTGTGGCCTGGGTTTCCCCAGCTGTCTTCATCCCTGTGACAGCGTTGCTCAGGGCATGTCCCCACCTGGCCCTGCTTGGAGGTCACCTTTCTGCTCTCACAACTGTTCTCCCTGCCCTCCTGCCCCAGCCATTTTCTCTCTGGCAGACTGAGCCCTCCTCCTGCCTGGGCCCTGGGCACCCTTCCTCCCAGGGCTCTGGGCAGGGCTTCTCTACTTACAGGCACATGACCTTGGGGGGCTCTGAGCCTGTTTCTTCAGCTGTGAAATGGAGGAAACTTTTAATTACCAGACCGGGTGGCAGCGAGGCTCAGAGAAGCTGATACCTTAGTGTGAACAGATGTAGCTTGATGCCCGCTGGGGGGGCCCAGGGGAGCACTTGTAGCCCTTCCCATTGAGGAAACGTCCCCACATTCTCTCAGCCTTCCTACCCCATGCCTTCCATGCTCAGAGTCCTCCTCCAAGCACCTTGCCCACTCCCTCCCAGGGATGATGTTCTGGGGGACACACCGANGTCTACCCCATGCCTTCCATGCTCAGAGTCCTCCTCCGAGCACCTTGCCCACTCCCTCCCAGGGATGATGTTCTGGGGGACACACCGAGCCAGCACGGCCACCTAATCCTGCTTTCTCTCTTTTTTGTCTTCTCCAGGTTTGGTAAGAATGATTCATTTTCATCCCCTGTGCCACCAGGAGCTACATTTGTGCCGCTGTCCCATCGGGGATGGATTTCTCTGACCCCCTTAGTGCACTTGGCCTTTCCATAGTCCAGAAGCAGAGGTGCTGGGAGCTGCCTCAGGAAGTAACTCTAGGACAGGTGGCCTTCACATGACGACCTGGCCTCAGCGCAGCCAGCAGCTTCTCTGTGTGAAGCAGGGACCTTAAGAGTGTCCCAGTCCGTGGACAGTCCCCACGGCAGGCCCTCTTTGTGCCTTGCCCTCCCCGAAGGTAACCTCTTGCAGGGAGCGTTTACCTGCTGGACTGCCGTGGGAACCCACACTCCTGGGAGGGAGCTACTACCTGTCTGGTGTAGGTGGACATTTGCCACCCGCAGACCCCAGCTGACATCTCAGGACCCGTCTCTTCAGGAGACGGATGTCCTTGGCGGCAGGACTGCGGATCCCTCTGAATGAGGCCCTGAGAGGTTTGCCCCCTGAGGGGGGAGGAAGCGGGCAGCCCCGATCTCCGTTCCTGCTCTTCTGCCTCCGGGCTCTGCTGCGGGGTTTCTCTCTCATGGGGCAAAGCAGAGGATAACAGCGAGCCTCTGGAGGCTGCTTCTAATTGTCTCAGTGGAGATGCAGAGATGTGTATTTTGCTTGAACAATGTAGCAGTTTATTTTCATCCTATCCTAAGCTGGCTCTGCAGAGCTGAGGAGGGGATGTCAGGCACCGACTTTGCAAATTGGAGCCAGCTTCAGGACCACCACGGAGGCCTGGGGTGGGGAGGGAGGGAGGCTGCTCTTCCCCTCCCCAGGGCACAGGGCCCTCACAGAGCTGGCGTCCCTAGGACCGTCTGGCCCTCTTGTCCTCCCGGTTGCTGTGGTGATGCAGGGTCCACACCAGTGAGGCTGCTTCTCCAGCTTCTCCAGCGGGAAGGCAGGACGAGGCCTTCAGGGCCTGTATTCTATCTAGTGAGGGCCAGTATCCCATGCCTGTGGCAGACATTGCAGATCAGTCACAGGTTGTGCTCAGAGATAGATGGTTGAAATCTCACTTTTCCACAGTCTGTTTCTTGGGCTGGCAGCCTAGCCCCTTTTAGACCTACATGTTTTGATGGCTGTGCCTACTGACTGGAGCGAACCCCAGGAGGGAGTTGGAAAGACTCAGCCCATGGCAGATGTGCTAGAGGGAGCTGCAGGAGGGACAGTTGTGGGTTCCTGGTCATCAGCAGGGCAGCAAAGGGCCTTTTGGTCCTTGGTGTGGGAGGAGTCAGCACCTCCAGTGTGCCCTTCTTATGGTTGGGTATGTGGTACTTGCCCTTACGTGAACCAGCACTTGATGAGCACCAGCCTGTGTGCCAGGCCAGCACTGAGAGACACAGGAGGGTGCAGTGGCCTTCTAGGTGTGTGGTGGAAGGGCTGTTGACTCAGAGGACCCGGGATGGCCACAGATCCCTCAAGCACTGTGAGACTTTTCTGAGTCACAGGCCTCTGATAATTGGATGAAAGTCTAGAACCTCTTTCCAAGGAAAAACATACAACTTCCTAATTACCAGTCCAGAGGTTTCCCAGACCTGCCCATGGGTTCTGTTGAGAACCCTGTTCTAGGAGGAGATAGGCAGTGCTGAGCATGGGAAGGAGGGGATGGGAAGGAGGGGTACACAGGTAGATGAGGAGAGGGAGGGAGTTGGGCATGTAGGCTGCCAGTAGATGGAGGAATTGCTGTGGACTCTTCCCTCACTGCCAGCCTGTGATGCTATAAACACTGGGGCTGCCTGTTCTGGGGAAGCCAGATTAGGAGGAGAGCCCAGGGTGCCCTCTAGGGAGATAGGCAGAGGGGCACCTCAAAGCCCATGGCCTGAGACTTCCCCAGACTCAGACTGAGTGCCAGGTACAGCTGGGCCACGTGGGAGCTAAAGCTTCACCGTGTCCTCGCTCTGCCTGCTGAGACCTGCAGCGGTTGCTCTCAGCAGCAGCATCAAGGCCAGAGAGGTACTGGATGTGCTACGTGGCTAACCAGCCTTGAACCCCTGCCAAGGGTCAGACAGCTTCCATCCACTTAACGAGAAGTGACCAGAATTCAACCCTTGCAAGCTGGTAACCTGTGGGTGCATCCATGAGAGAGGGTGTGTGGTGGCCTCCACCGTCACAAACTTTGCCTTCTGCCCCTCAAGCTGGCCTTCCCCAGAGACGGTCTCTGAACGGTCTGCAGAGGCTGGGCAGTAATGTTCATTAGAGAAGCCAGCCACATCGTCCCTGGTCTAACCTGTCCTGTCCCTATTTCGATAGATGTGGTTTCAGGGATGTTTCTCTGCCATTCGGTAAGTTTTCCTGCCCATCTAGCCTGTGATCTCTGACATAGAAGGTCACAGGCACAAGTTGTCCCTGCAGTGCTTCCTCAGCCTGCCTGACCTCGCTCTTTCCCTGCAGATCTCCCACACGGATCCCCGCAGATGGTACGGAGGGACATCGGGCTCTCAGTGACACACAGGTAGGCCCAGACGGGGGGGTAGGGGGAGGTACAGCTGGGCTGGGACCTGCAGGTGCCGTGGTCGTGCTTCCCATCATGGTGGGGTGTGATCTGATCCCTGTTTCTCAGGGCTCTTTGCCTCTGTTCTATCTCCATCACCTCTGTGGATACAGCCCCGCACCCATCTGGAGCCACTGCTTGTCACCCGCAGCCATATGGACTTGTTGGGCCCTCCCCTCCACCTTCATGGGTCTCTTCTTCAGTCTGCTGAGGGCAAACACAGGTCCCAGGAGAAACAGGGTCATCTCGGGGAGGAGGAGCCAAGAGCTTCTGAGTCCAGCTCGATATTGTGTGGATATTACAACTGTCCATATGGACATCAGAGCCCCATTGAGCTTGTTGAAACTCCAGATTCCCAGGCCCCATCCCTGAGGTCCAGGCCTGCAGGGCATCTGGGTTTTCAATAACTTCCAGTGACTGCTGCTCATGCATGTTGGGGAGAGCTATAGGGGCCCCGTGCAGGACCCGGCCTGGAATTCTCACCCAGAGAGGGGCCTGAGAGTGCAGCACTTCGCCTGAAGTCATGCAGCCAGTAAGATGGTGCTTGAGCCCTCTGGCTGGCACCCAGGCACCATTCGCAGCCTGCGGGAATGGGTATGCCTGTGCCTCAGAGCCCCCAGGTCCCTAGCACCACAGACAACCAGGTAGGCCCTGTGAGTGGAGATTCAAATGCCTCCCTTGGCCCTACCCAAGGTACCAGTGTGATCGTCCCAGGTCCGAGCGAGCTGCTGAGAGCAGAGCCTTTCAATTTGGGAACCCTCCCCCATGAGCTGCACACCTGTGGTCAGCAACCTCTCTGAGCCTCAGTTTCCCCCTCTGCAAATGGGACTTCCTCCGAGTCATGCGTGCCTGAGCTTTACACATCCAGTGGTGGGGAGCACGTGATGTTAACCTTTGCCTCTTGCCTGAGAGAGGCCAACATTTTCCCAGGGACGCCAAGATCAGCAGGTTCCTTTGTTTCCTTTTTGTCTTGGCTGCTCCTGGTTTCACAGAGGGTTTGAGGCCGCAGCAACCTGTCCTGAAGTCTATCCCAGACTACTGCTCCCTTCCCCGTGTGGCAACTCATTCTAGAGGCTGCTCCCCGAGCAGGGCAGCGGCACCCCTCTCATCTGGCAGTGCCAGGTACCCCTCCCACCCCTTCCAGGTTCTGGGCTTGGGTAGGTGCCATCACAGGCATACCCTGTTGGGGTTTTTTATTATTTTTTTTTTACCTTGTTCGTTTTTTAAACCCATAATTCAGGCCCCTTTCAATAAGAAGGTCTAAAGGTTCTTGGTTTACATGCCCTGTCCCAGTTCTCAAGACTTTTACCCAACCCCCACCCACTTCCCTGGTACCTGCCCTTTCTAAGGTCCAGACCCAACTATTAATCTTAACCTATTTTCAGGATTTTCTAGTGGAGGTCATCTCAGATACCACCGAGCTGCTCCTCTTCCCCTGGTGCTGACACAAGAGGAGATTAAAGCCCAGAGGAAGAGAGGGTGGGCCCCAGGGAGGCAGGATCAGGGCTCCTTAAAAGGCACTGACTCCCAGGAGCTGGGTGCCTTTGTCCTGGCTCCCAAGAGCTCCCTCTTGGCTGGGTGGAGACAGTAACTCTTACACACCTCCTCCGCAGTCCAGACACTCCACATTCACACAGCACATGTGTGATCCTCCCCAAGTCACTGTGAGGTGAGAGTGCAGGCCCATTTGCAGAGGCTCCGAGGTATCCCACAGCCAGCAGTCGGCGGGATTCAACCTGGTGCAGACTGATCCTGGAGCCACGCTCTCCTTCCCACTCTGCCCAGTGCAGAGGCTGTGCAGCACTGAGTCCAGAGACCTGGGGCTCTCCCCTCCTGCACAGCAACTCTGAGCTCAGGGAAGTCAGCTAACCTCTCTGAGCTGGTCTCCTTGCCTGTGTACTAAGAATCCTGGAGCCGCCTAACTCCCAGGGGTGGTTGTAAGAATTGAGTGAGCTAATTTATGGATGCATTACAAACTGCTGCTCAAATACTATTGCTGTTACTGTGATATACTGTGCTTTTAAAAATCTGTTCCTTCAAACTGTGAGTTCTTCCTGCCCTCGGGCCTCACTCACCACCCTATGGACTGGCTTTGGGCTATTTCTCTGGAGGCCACCACCCACTCAGCCCCCATCCTTCCAGCCAGTCTCTCTGTTGTGCTTTTTAATTTTTTGAATTTTGGTTTTGTTTGGATTGAAATACCTTCATACATTCAAGATTCAATAGGTATAAAAAGGTACTGTATATACATACAGAAAAGTCCCCCCCTGCTTGTGTCCCTGTCCTGCAGTTCCCCCTGTAGGCGTATCTCAGCAGTTTCTTGTGTCCTCTAGGGATATTTTTATACAAGCAAGTGTGTATGTATTCTTCTGCCTCCTTTCTTGTCTTCCCATAAATACTGCATATATTATACACACTGTTCTGTACTTTGCCTTATTTTCCTTTTTAAATTGGAGCATAATTTATAGTCATGAACACCACCCGGAGGACGGTTCAGAGTGATCCAGCCTCCAGCACGTCATCTCTGGCCCTTCCCAGGCGGTAGTGCCACCACCCAGAGGTTCCTCTTCACATCTGTCATCACAGATGAGTGTTTCTTGCACTCAAACTTCATATAAATGGAGTCATACAGTGTCATCCCTTACATTTTTCACTGGCCATATAATTTGGAGATCATTCCATATTTGCACAAAAAGAGCACCCTTGTTTTATTTTCTGGCTGCCTGGTGTTCAGTTGTGCGGATGGACTGCACTTTCTGTGGTGCATCACTGATGTATACACCTAAACCACGCGTGGATGGTTTCCAGTCTCACTGCTACAAATATGCTGCACTGAGTAACCCTGTCCACGCATCATTTGACATCTGTGGGCATATCTGTTGGATCAGGTCCCAAGACTGGGATTCTGGGTCAGGAGGTCTGTACACTGGTCCTTTTGGTTGCTGTTGCCAAGTTCCCGCCAAAGAGCTGGCATCATGACCATACCAACTTTGGGATTTTGACAATGATGACTTTGTGGCTGGGAAATCTGAATGGGGGGGGCGGAGTGGGCCCTGCCCTCCCAGGAAGAAAAGGTGCCTGGGGCTCTGGGTTGGAACTGAGTCTCCTGGTTTCCCTGGGCTGTTTGGGGACCCTTCTCTGTCCAGGCCCTGGTCTCCTGGCCCATGTGAGTGTTTCTGTGTGTCCACCCCCTGTAGGTTCTCCACGAAGTCCTGGCTGTCGCAGGTCTGCCACGTGTGTCAGAAGAGCATGATGTTTGGAGTGAAGTGCAAGCATTGCAGGTGATGGGTGGAGGGTGGTGGGGGTGGGAGAGGGAGCACACTTTATACTTGTAGTTAAGTCACAGTCATGCTCATCAATTATTGGCCTTAGGTCAAGTCAGAGTTCAAAAGGTTCCCCTAAGCCTACTATTCATGATCCCATTCAGCAAACCAAGGAGCTGTCAGCCCTCTCCAGGGAGATTAAGGAAGCATCAAGCAAGGCACTCCCAGAATAAGGGAATATTTGAGGTGGGCTTTGAAGGATGAACAGAAGTTTGCCAGATGGACCAAGGAGGAAAGTGAATTCCAGGCCAATGGAGTGTCTTGTACAAAGGCAGAGAGGAATGGGAGGACTATTCAGGAAACTGTAAGGAATTCTGAAATTAGCCTTACAAGGGACAGGAAATTGGGTCAGGCCATGGTAAAAACAGAGAGATGTCTTGTGGTTCTTATAGAAGGAAAGAATGCAGATTATGTACAAGTCTGTCCCCTGCTCTCTAGCTGCCCTCACCTTACAGAGGGTCGACCTGGAGTCTCTGCTCCTGCCCACTTTGCCCCTGCGTTGCTGTGTGACTTGGGGCAAGGTGCTTGCCCTTTCTGGGCCCTATTTTTGTCATTTATACACCCAGGAAAATGATTCCAGGTCTCTACCCATCAGGAGTGCTCCAAGAATCTGAGCTAGTATGAGCAAGGGCATGTGGATTCCCATGAGCCTGAAGGTGATGGGTCTCGTCCATGCCAGTGGTTAAATTGTGCTTTCCTGACGACTCCTGACCACCGAGGAGATGCCAGAGCTTCCTCTCCAGTCTGGGTCTGCTGTGGCTCCTGGCCATTTGGCTCCCTTTCAAGTAGTGCCTTTCATGTGGGGAGGGTTACTCTTGAGCTCAACACTGCAGTTGCAGCATGAGGCTGTCAGGGCCCCAGATGTAAGCCTATTTAATCAACGAGAACCCCAAGACACAGTGCAGCAGGCAGGACCAAAACGAGGACCCAGCCCTTTCCACTCCCAGCCCCGCCCTGTGGACCCTCCGACCACACGGCCCGGGCTGGCATGCAGTGGGGGGGCTGCCCCTGCATCCGTGCGTCCTTTGGTGGTGCAAACATTCTCCTTCCAGCTTACCTCATTTTGCAAGTTCCCATTCCTCTGGGGCTTTCTGAACGTGGGTGGAGGGTCTTCTTTCTCTGGAAAAGAGAAGCAGCTGTGCAATCCACTTGCGACAAGTTCAAATGGGTATGATCCAGCCTGCTGTGCTCTGAGGACTGACAGACAGCAGCGGGAAGGTGGTCATGCTCAAAGATCGTAGCTGTCAGTATTGTTCACATCTGTTCTACGTTTCTGAGCTAATGTCTGGAGAAATTTGTGGAAATGGGGGCAGTCAAGGGTAAGGTGCACAGGGCAGCCAGGCGTGCTTCTGCGCCCCTGTGCGGGCCCAGGAAAGCCGAGTGGCCCTCCACACACTGACCCCTGCCTTCTTCACCAGGTTGAAGTGTCATAACAAGTGCACAAAAGAAGCCCCCGCCTGTAGAATATCCTTCCTTCCAAGTGAGTGCTCACCCGCCCTCTCCTCTGCCTTCTGAACTTGGGGTGAGTCTGTCTTTAGCCCAGTGTGTTCCCTGCTGATGGTCCCCCTCCCTCTTCAGTAGCTAGGATTCGGAGGACAGAGTCTGTCCCTTCGGACATCAACAACCCGGTGGACAGAGCAGCCGAGCCCCATTTCGGAACCCTCCCCAAAGCACTGACAAAGAAGGTACGTTGGGCAGTGGCCCAGGGGTCTGTTGCTTCTGCCAGGACAACCGCCCACCCGAGGTCCCTCTCTCTAAAGCCCCCCAATGCAGAGATCCAGCGTGACCACGCATTCCAGATCTGTGGCCAGAGCGTGACTGTCAGGGATCCTGTCTGTAGCCATTTAGCAAACTTCACATTTGTAGTTCCGTGCCTGTAACACACCCCACCCCCTTTCCTTTTTTGAGCTGATATTTCACTGACTGTGAGTCAGGAACTTTTTCCCAGTGGTGTTTCCTCTGAGCCTCGGAGTAGTTCTAAAAGGATCATACTAACATCACCTCCGTTTTACAGACGAGGAAACTGAGCACTGGTTTCCCTGTGAGTGAGAGATAGGCCCAGCCCCAGAGCCTGCGCCTCAAGTCACAGTGCAGCAAATGGGCCTTTGAATGTAATACATGTCTTTACATAGCCGGGGGTTGGGCTTCTCTCCTAATGCACAGACGCCCTCTGCAGCTAGACAGATTCTCGAAGGCCTGTGTCCCCCTCGGAGGGTCTACAGACCTGTCATGGGCCCCCATGCACAGATGTGCGTGGTATCTGACAGCCACCCCTAACCTGGAGACCCCGGAGTGGGTGGCCGCCCCCAGGCTGCCATGGGTGTGGCCGTGTGTTTCAATTATGTTACAGCCCAGCCCCAGACTAGGGCTCAGCATGTACTTGCCTCCCTGCTGAGGGGCCAGGAGACTGGCTGCTCCATGGCTGTGTCCAGCGTTCAGTGGCTTGGGCCAGCCTTGGGGGAGGTTTGGGCAGAGGGAACGGAGACAGGTGGTGTGACCAGTTAACAATGGGGACCCTGAAGATGAAGCTTGGGGGACTGCTCCAGGAGAGTCCAGGGCTAGCTGTTGTCATACAAAGGAGGCCAGCTGCACCGGACCTGATGTCTCTGGGCCCACTTGTGTCTTTTCTCCTGCCTCTGTCTGCCTGGCATCACATAGTCCCTCCGATGATGGCATTCCCACCAGGAATGGAGAGGGGAATAGAAAGATGATAGGATCCACAGTCCTGGGTTCAAGTCCTGACTGTTTCCCTTTGTTCTGAGACTTTGAGTGAGTGCCTTTCCCTCTCTGAGCCTCAGTTTTCCTATTCTGTAAAGTGGGGATGATCTTCATTCACAGGGTATTGTAAGGGTAACGAGAGAATGTTCATGAACTTACTTGTCAGGAGCTTTGCCATTGGTCACCTGTGCTCACCTTTCAGCCTGTCCCAGCGGGGCTCAGTTCCTCGGTGGGATGCCAGGCCCCCTGATCTGCCACTCCCCATCTTGCCCACTTGTTTCTGCACTTGCCTTCTCCTCTCCAGCTACACCAAGTGCACCCCCTCCTCACACCGTCTTCGCACGCCCCTCACTCACCTCGTGCCCATTCACACCCTGGCACGTGCATGTCTGCATATGTGCCCATGTGGGCACCCACCCCTCACCCTCCCGTCAGTTCTCGAAGCCCACTCAGGGTCCCTCCTCCTCCATGAGCCCCTCCTGCCCACACCTGCTCCGCCCTTACCCAACACAGAACTGGGTCTCATCTCACTGAGAGCAGAGACTGGGTATCAGCCTTCCCAAATCCCCTATTTATGGTCATTACCATAATGCGAGCCAGCAGTCACCGAGTCCTCACTCGGTGCCAGGCCTTGCGCTCAGGGCGGTGTGTTTATCCCATTTCTCTCACAAGGGCAGGCCTGTCTCTCTGACCTCTTCTCTAGCCTCGGTCTCCCATTCTTGCTCAGATAGGCTCTGCGCATTCCCGCCTCGGGGCTTTTGTGCCCACTGTTCTCTGCCTGGAGCACTCTTCCCAGCATTCACACCGTTCACGTTCTCAGGGCAGCCTTGCCTGGACACGGCCTAAGGCACAGCCCCTGGCTGCACACTCCCTGCCCAGCATTCCTCGTGACCTGGCATTGCATGGTCACTTACCTGTTTGCTGTCCGTCTCCCTGCTGCAGGTGCTCTGGGGGCAGGGCCATGTTGTCTTAATCCTGCTGGGTCCCTGGTGCCTACACTGGTGCCTGGCACACAATATGCAGTGGAAATGTTTGTATTGAATGTTAAGCAAATGAACAACCCTGTGAGGTATCAGCTGATGCCCCCATTTTATAGATGACACTGCGGCTCAGAAAGGTGGGGTGGTTAGTCCAGGGTCCCGCAGGTGCTGTGTGGAGGAGCTGGGATGCAAACCTACCTTGGAGTGGGATCGGGAATAGTGAGGGCTCAGTGGATCCAGCTCCCTTCCTCTCCTTAGCTTGCAACCCGGTGTGGGCTGTCCCTGGGCAGTGAGGCCCAATGCATGGCTTTGGTGGGTTTCAGAGTCAGCCGTGCACCCCAGAACCGTTAGGACCTGCGGAAGAGAAACTTGTTGAAGTTAGCATTTAACTCAACTTGGCGCCAACTTCTTTGACCAAAGAATTCCTTCCCCACCCACTGCTGTTCGGGTCTGGGAAACAATGGCCGCCTAACACAGAATCAATCCCCCTGTAGCCTTCTCTCAGGTGCTTCTTGGGCTTTGCTGGGCCCCAACCACCGGGTGGGCCTGCTAGCAGTTCTGCAAAAGAGTGGAGGGAGCTCGTTAGGCACCTACTGTGTACCACACACTAAATAAATATTTGTCAGAGGCTGAATTTAATTCATTAAAGAAACCCTACTATGTGCTGGCTCAGAGCCAGGCACTGATAAGCAGGTATGGTCCCTGCCCTGCCCTCACAGGACACAGTGATGGGAGAGACATTCTTCAGAAAACCAGCCAAGATACCTGCAGTTGAAAAACCATAGTTCAAGTGCCATGATGAAGAGTGCTGGGAGCTATGGGAGTATAAAGAGGAGGAGCGTGGTCCCAGCCAGGGCTCAGGCAAGGCTTCTGAGAGGACAGTGTGTTTGAGCTGAAATAAGATGAGCGGGAGTCCTCTAGGGGATGGGCACTGAGGTGAGGATCTCCCTGTGCCATTCTTCCTGCAAATATCAGACCAGGAAAATATCAGGGTGCTCTGGACTGACCTCTTCATTTTTACGTGGGGAAGGGGGGCGGGGGGTCCCAGCAAGGGTGTGGGAGGCAGGCTGGGCAGGGCAGGGACAGTGCCTGCCCACTTCCCCTGTCTCTGGTCCTGCAGGAGCACCCGCCAGCCATGAACCACCTGGACTCCAGCAGTAACCCGTCCTCCACTACATCTTCCACGCCCTCCTCGCCAGCTCCCTTCCCAACGTCGTCCAACCCATCCAGCGCCACCACGCCCCCCAACCCCTCGCCCGGCCAGCGGGATAGCAGGTTCAACTTCCCAGGTACCATGCTACTGGGCTTTTTTGGGCTCTTAGGGATGGGGTCACATGCCCCTTCGCAGCACACCCCAGCGTGCTCGGGGTCAAGCACTGCAGCCACTGAGCGCGTGTGGCGGGCCAGGTGCTTTGCTGAGCTTAATTGCATTACCACATATAAACTTGATAACAGCTCTGAGGTAGATGCTGTTATTGCACCCATTTTACAGATGGGAACAGAGGTTCGGGGAGAGGAAGTGGCTTGCCCCGAGCTGCACAGCATATAAGCATTAGAGCCAGGATCAAAGTCAAGTGTGTCTGACACGAAGCCTGTGTTCTTGACGTAATTCCTGTGCTGCCCTCCTGCACATGCCTGGCTTCTACTGGACATTGCTCCCTCACGCGGGGCTTCTGTGCTCCCAGGAAGCATGACAGGCAGCACGGGGAGCAAGGGCAGGCCCAGAAGGCCTAGGAGAGGGGATCCCAGCCTCTGTCATTTACCTGCTCTGAGATCTGGACAAGCTACTTAAATGGAAGTGTTTGTTCCCTTTACCATAAAACGGGAGACCCCTGAAGTTGGAATCAGGCTATCCCCCGTGTATGGATGACACTGAGTCCCACAGGGGCTTACATGCTGGAGCAGACCTGACCAGAGCTAACCTCTGACTCTACCACAGCCAAGGCTGCCCTGGGGTCTGTAGGGCCAGGACCCCTTCCTGTTGGCCAGGCCTGGGGTGTCCTACCTCTCCAGGGAGAGGAGTGGAGCCCACTTGTCCATTTGAGGACTGATCCCCAGGCTTGGCCTCCCTGGCAGCTCCTAGCAATAGTTCTTGGCCTTCAGCATATTTCAGTTGGCAGCCTGGAGGAAGGAGGGGGTGGCTGGGATGCTCCAGTTTGCTCCTGGCCCAGCCACAGGCCCACTGCCAGCTTCAGCCTGTGGAGTCCAGGTCAGGTCCCACCTGTCACTGGCCCCTGAGGCTCCGGGCCCAGGAGGACAGACTTACAACTCTTCTTGTGCCGAGGGACCCCCAACTGGGGCCAGCAGGAGGCCTGGCAGCCTCTCTGATTCCATCTCAGCAGGATTCTAGGGACTTATTTGGGGGATGGTGAGAAGCTGAGATTTTGTAGGAATCTTTTCTCTTTCGCTCTCCCTTCACCTTATTCAGCACGTGACTGGGTATCTCCTGACACTAATGCATCATCCTGATCCTACCTGTCCCCTCCCTGCCACTGAGTGATGGCCTCTTTGATTAACCTCTCCCTCCCATTCTGCTTTGTCATTAATATGCTCTGAAACTGGACCTTTTGCTAAACCTCCTAGTTTGGGTTTTTCTAAAAGGAAGGGCCTGTTTGAAAAACAACAGCCACAGAGAATAAAGTCCTTTGTGTGATGTCAGCCAGCATCTCAGCTTTCCCTCATGTCCCCGGCCTGGGCCCTCATTGTCCCCAGCACAGAGCCCTCACTCTCTCCAGGACCTGTTATCTCTCTGGTCGAGGCAGTGTCTGGGCCTAGGCT